GGCAGCATTTCATTTAGTCCTCACACATGCTGTTATTTACTGGGAACTTACATGGAAATACTTATTTTGATAAAATGGCAAACAATTCTGTATTTTTTAGAAATTTCAGCTAAGGTAAAAAAATTGTACATGGAAACAACTTCTTAGAGAACAACTCTAGTTTTGCCTCAAATCGGGCTGCTAACCTCAAGGTCTGCAGTTGGAAACTACCAGGAGTTCTGCAGGAGAAAGATGAGGCTTTCTGCTCCCATAAAGATTTACAGCCTCAGAAACCCAGTGCAAGGTCGCTATGAGTCTGAGTCGGAACCCACTCCACGGTACTTAACGACGACAACAACAAAAAAGTCATAATGTTTGTGCTTCTACGAATACTGTATATATAAAACGTTGACTAGTTCGTAAATTGGCAAGTAAGTGGTTCTCACAAGTTTTAGTTTCCTGATCCCCCAAATGAGCAAGGTATACTAGGTTGATGGTCCTTAAGGCTCATTGTATTACAGGTTCGAATTCCAAAGAAGGATTATGACCACTATAATGTCCAATTTATAGCTTTTTATTGGCACAACAGACGGCTATAGCCAGAAGGCAGGAGACAATGAATTCTCCCAGGCCTGCTGTAGGGAAATGACTGCTAGTTTGTATATGCTAAATTCTTGGCTCCAGGGGTCTAGGGGTTTAGCTAAAGGAATTTGCTAAAACCGGAGTACAAAAGCAAAAATACTGGTTTAGTCCGCTCACAGGAACGCTACATAACAATTAACAACGGGTTAAGTGTGACCACATGAGTTCGAATAACAATACTACACAGTAAACACCACCTGTGAGGCTTGTTTCTGCCCTACCTGCCTCAAGGCCAGGGAGCTGTGCTGGCTTTAGAAATTCTGAGTACTCAAGGAGCTCTATTGTTTCAATTCTATCATGAAAAGTTTCAGATCTGAGACTAAGTCTAATTGCTTGTAAGAAGGAGGAAACATAACTTTAGAACAATTTACTTAATTGATAAATGTTCTGCCTTGTGGGAATACTGGTTTGTCGGTAGACAAACAATTTTCCAGACTTCTTTTGTCGAGCCAGCTATCTGTTAAGACTGGGAGAAGGAGTATATCGGGTGCAGTAATACCAACAACGCAGAACGCTCCTAAAACAAGCAGCTGACTACAATAGTAGACGAACTATGAACGTCTGGGCACCCGTAGGTCGGATTCTGCGACTATAGGACCGGAAATGGCTGTGCCGCACCGGCTTCCTCTCTTGAATTACGAATTCCTGCGGCTCCCGCAGTGTATTCAGGAAATCAGTAGATGTCCAAGGACATGGAGGCGGCACGCCCTCCTTCGATCCCGGGGAAGCTGGTGGTGGTGGGCGGCGGCATCGCGGGCGTTACCTGTGCGGAGCAGGTAGGGCGGGCGGGCGGACGGACATTCGGCCCCTTCTTTTCCCCGACCTCCTTCCTTCCTTTCCATTCCCTTTTCCCTAATTCAGGTTCCGTGCTCTGATTCTTACAGCGCTGCAGCTGATGTTCTTCATACTTAGTTTAAAACGCAGGGAGGAGAGGAGAGAAAATTATTAGTGGGGAAGCCAGTGACTAAACTGGATTATGTTCCTAGTGTAACCAGAGCAGTCGAGAAATTTTATAATTATTTAGGACAGTCAGCCACCTTAATTACCTTAGCGAAAAACACCAAACCAACTGCCATGGAGTTGCTTCAGACTGTAAGCCTTTTAGAGAGCAGAAAGCCGCTTCCCTGGAGCAGCTCGTAGGTTTGAACCATCAATCTGGCTGTTATTAGCAGTCTGGTGTTTACCCTATCATTGGAAGTAATCTTCCAAATAATTGCCAAACCTTTAGTGCATGCTAACTAATAGGTAAAAAAGCTTTTATACAGCAACCAGCAATAGATTAAATGCAACTGGGAATGCTCTTCTGATTATAATAAATAATGAATAGCTATCTAGTCTCCAAAGAGACCTAAGTTATTTTGTTGCAGTAAAGTAAACATAAGCAAACAAACACTAATGGCAAGATAGAGCAAGCGATTCAAGAGTTTTTTCTTTTGTTTTTCATTTTTAATATTTGGATGTATGTTTTTCATTTATTCATATAAACACCTATGATCCAGACACTGCACTAAGGATTGGGACGCAAATATAGGTAGAGCACGGCACTTCCTTACTAAAACTCACAGCCTAGTAGGAGTGATGTGTAAATAAACCATTTCATCAGTATGAACTGTTATATTAACGTTTCAGTGGAATTAGGATGAATTGATTAGAGAAGACATCTTAAAGGAGGTGTCATTTTATCCCAGTATAGAAAAATGAGTGAAAGTTCACCAGGTAATCAGGAAAAGAAAGATGTTCCAAATGGAGGCAACAGGAAGTACAATCTCTGGTAAAAAAGCATGGCTTCATCTAGGAGCAGCAAGACTTGAAAGAACACATAAGAAGCTGGAGAGGTAGACCTAGACTAGATTATAAAAAGTCTTATAAGTCATGTTAAGGATTTATAAGAGTGAACAAGGAGCTCTGGTAGCGTAGTGGTTATGAATCTGGCTGCGAACCGCAAGGTCAGCAGTTCGAAACTACCAGCTGCTCCGTGGGAGAAAGATGAGGTTTTCTGTTCCCATAAAGATTTATAGCCTTGGAAACCCTGTACAGGGTCGCTATGGGTTGGAATCGACTCGACGGCACTTAACAACATAAGGAGTCAAATGATTTTGAGCCGTGAAGTAAGATGATGGATGAAAAACTTTGAAGGGTTACACTGAAAGGTTATAATGTGTTCAAGGTGGGGGCAACTGGTTATTATATGAGACAGGCAGGCCAATTCAAAAATTATTGTGGTAGTCCAAGGAGATATGGCAGTGCGGAAGGTTAAGCATTGGGCTGCTAACCACAAGGTTGGTGGTTTAATTCCACTTGCTGCTCAACAGGAGAAAGATGAGGCTGTCTGTGCCCATAAAGATTTACAATCTCAAAACCCCTAAGGAGCCATTCTACTTTGTTCTGTGGGATTACTGAGATTGAATCTATCCCCGACACCTGCAGATTCATGGGTTTTTCAGTAGTATAAAGAAGCTTCAAGGGTCTAATCTAGCAATGGGAACAGAAAAGGAGAAAGTAAATTGCAGAATAAGCAAAGGAAATAATTCAAGATGAAGAGAGTGATAACAGTCAATATTATAGAAATTCAAACAGGTTTAAACTTAAAAAAAAAAAAAATCCAATGGGTTTTAATGGTGTTTGGCGTTCTGGTGTGGTACTGTAGGATTAGCACTGTGCTGCTAACTATAAGGTCAGTGGTTTAAACCCACCAGCCACTCCGTGGAAACCCTATACAGGGTTGCTGTAGGTCAGAACTGAACTTGACAGCACCTAACAACAACTGAGTACTTGAGAAGTCCTGGTGTGGCGCTGTAAGATAAGCACTAAACTACTGACTATAAGGTTAGTGGTTCAAACTTACCAGCCATGCCTCGGAAATCCTACATAGGGTCGATATGAGTCAGAACCTACTTGATGGCACTTAACAATAGCAATAATAAGAGTACTTGAACATGCCCAGTTTTAGTAGTTTATTGTTGTTAGTGCCTTGAACCACTGACCTTATAGTTCAAAGTGACCTTGCAGTCCCGCGTATTATCCTGAAACGCCACACCAGGACTCCAGTATTAGAGATAGAATCCAGATAGTCAATGTTAGCGGTGTTGAGGAATTAGATAGTGCAATCAGAAAATGCTTCCAAGATATTTAAAAATGAGGAAGAGAGATTATAAATCAAGGAAAACAAACACACAATAGCAAGTTAAACCTTTTTTTAAAGTTACTATTAAAATAGTTCTTTCTTCCCAAATTATAAATGGTTGAATATTTGGAGGAGGCAGAATAAAAGTACAAAGCATTTGGGAAAGTAGTACTAAGTGTTTTTTATTAAGGATATGCTATAATTTCATCCCACTGACTGCAAATTACAATATTCTTTTAAAACATATTTTAGAATAAACGAGTTGGTTTGGTTGTTAATTGAGAAGATAGTTTAGTCTCAGCCTCTTCATGATTAATACTTGAAGTAAATAAGATTATACCTCTATATTACTATTTTTATTCAGAAAGTTTTTGTTACTGTTTATTATATGTATATTGTTCATTTTAAAAATCGTTATCAGGTTTAATGTTAGCACACCTCCATAAATATGCTAAGACTTAGGTTAATGGACACTTTTTGATGAGACCCTGGGCTTTTTTTGTTTCCTAGTTTAATAATAGTAATTGAAATCGCATTACTCCCCACCCCATCCCCAGACCATTCATTTGCTGTTGTTAAGTGCTAATGAGTTGGTTCAGATTCATAGCTACCCTGTGTAGGATTTCTGAAGCTCTAAATCTTCACAGGAGCAGAAACCCTCATCTTTCTCCTTCACAGTGGCTGGCAGCCTCAAACAGTGGATCTTGTGGTTTGCAGTCCAGGGCCTATTGTATGGAGCCACTGCATTCTTATACCTTATAATGTTGATGTTATTAAAGTGCCATTGAGAGGGTTCCAACTCATAGCGACTCTATATATAGGGTTTCCGAGGAGCTGCTGGTGAGCTTGAACTGCCGATTTTGCAGTTGAAACTGACTGTGCAGTCCAGCGCATTAAACGGCAGTGCCAAACTAGGACTCCCTTACTTAAATTCATTTATCAATTTGTTTCTCTCTCTCTCTTTTTTTTTTTTTTTAAACCTAAGTTGGCTATTCACTTTCCCTCAGAAGATATTCTCCTGATAACAGCTTCTCCTGTTATTAAAGCAATCACAAATTTCAAGCAGGTAAGAACTTTTATAACATTTTTAGTATTTCTTTACAAAGTACATTAACTTGCTTAGTAATTAGAGTAATTATAGTTTTTATTATTTAAAATGACATTATGTGCTTGATATTTATTGTAAAACCAAAGTTTAAAATTATTTGTATTGAATACCACAGGGGTGCAACATGGTATTCCGTTTCTAATCTATTTTCCTCCCACTTTTTTCTCTCACTCAATCCTTATATATCAATTCCTTCTGAGAAAATTTCCAAGCAGATTATTTTCAGGAAAGATGCTATGCAAAAGAAAAAAGTAGAGAGAGATAGATATAATTTGTATGTTTATAGAAAAGAGGCAAAGTGCTTCTGAACAAAGTTTATGTTTAGAGATACCGTTTTTGATGTATAGTAAACATCTCAGAACCCTTTATAGTTCATGAGTTTTTGTTATACACTGTAACAGGAGTGTAAAATCTACTGGATAATAGTATCATAGGAGAGTGGTCTCCAAATCTATTTGATCCTACACCATTGTATAGAAAATCTTTGCGTTCATATCCCAATATATGTATATTATTTATTTATGAATTATTTAAGAATTATGAACATTACAAAGCTTATGCAAAAAAAAGTTAAGGGAAAATAGCAGCAGTCAAGATATCAAACAATGTATTGCATTAGGCAAATCTGTTGCACAAGACCTTTTTAAAGTGTGGAAGAGCAAAGTTGTCAGCTTGAGGACAAGGTGCGCCTGACCCAAGCCATGGTATTTTCAATAACCTCATATGTATGCAAAAATTGGACAGTGAATAAGGAAGACCGTAGAAGAATAGATGCCTTTGAGTTATGGTGTTGGATGAGAATATTGAAAGTGCCATGGGTTTCCAAAAGAACCAATAGAGCCGTTTTGGAAGAAATGCAGCCAGAGTGCTCCTTCGAGGGCAAGATGGCCAAACTTCATCTCTCATACTTCGGACATTTTGTCTGGAGGGAGTGGTCGCTGGAGAAGGATATCATGTTTGGTAAGGTGGAAGGTCAGAGAAAGAGAGGAAGACCCCCAACGAGATGTATTGGCCAAGTGGCAGCATCGATGGACTCAAGCGTGGCAATGATAGTGAGGTTGGCCCAGGATCGGGCAGTGTTTCTTTCTGTTGTGCATAAGGTTGCTCTGAGTTGGTAACAACTCGATGGCACCCAACAACAACATTTTCATTGTTTTGACCTTTGCACTGATGATACAAAAGCAGTGATGACTAAAATGCTAATACCTTAGCACACATTAAGGCAGTGGCAACCAAATTGTACTAGTAGGCATTATCCTTCACTGCTACAGATGCATAAATTATGACAAAACAAAAAACCAGCAAAAATTAATAATTTTATCATGTGTCTTTTTAATATTCTGTATAATGAAATGGGAAGTATGCATAAAGCACTTCTCTTATATACCAGAGTATAATGTTATTTCAAGGAAAAGCAGTGCAAATACTTGAAGTTACAGTCTATCTAGCCACTTTTTTTCATAGAAAATATATACATATTCATATATATAATAGCATATGTAGGGGGTATAGTTATGAAAATTACTTAGACATAACCAAACACCTCATGGAACTGAACTCTGTAGTGGGTTTGAAGGCTAAGGACATTACTTTGGAGGATATATAAATCAACTGGTGTAACAGTATATAAAGACAATGTTTTACAACCTAGTTTGGTGAGTAGCAACTGGGGTCTTAAATGCTGTGAGTGGCCATCTAAGATACAACTATTGGTCTCTTCTCAGAGCAAACCAGAGTGAAGAAAACCACAGATTCAAGGAAGCAGTTAGTCCAGAGGACTAATGGTCCACATGAACCATAGCACTTGGCTACCACAACCGTTCTGACCACAGACACAATAGAAGATCCTGGTTAGAGTGGGAGAAAAATTTAGTACGAAACTCAAATTCATAAAAAAACAAAGACCAGACTAACTGGTCTGACAGAGCCTGGCGGAACCCCTGAAACTACTACCCTCAATCACCCTTCTAATACAGAACTGAAGCCACTCACAGAGGCCACCTTTCCACCAATAGTCGTTGTTAAGTGCTGTTGAGTTGGTTCTGACTTTAGACTGACTTATAAAATAAATAATAACTGTGAGGAATGTTCCCCTTAGAACAATAAGATCTATAAGATCAAAAGACAATCTTTAGCCAAAGACGAAAAGAAAAACACCAGAAGAGGTAGGGACACCAGATATATGGGAATGTGCAACCCAGGATGGAAATGGAGAACACTGACACATTGTGGAGATTGCAATTTATGCTACAGAACAATTTGTGTGTTAGTAACTGAATGGAAAATTAATTTGCTTTGTAAAAGGTCACCTAAAGCACAGTATAATGTTCAAAAAAATTAACAGTTGGGAAACAAAAGCAAATTCTCTTAAGTCAAAAGTTATGAGATTGATATGAAATGAAAAACTCTTCTGAATTATTTTTATTTTGGAGAATTAATTATGCATTAAAAGTATATTGGTTTAATGTATTATGTTTATAATCAAAAAGTACTTAGATTTTTTTTTCTCAGTTTTAATTTCTAATATAGGAGTCCTGGTGTGGCACTGTAGAATAAGCACTGGCCTGCTAACTGCAAGGTTGGCAGTTCAAACACACCAGCTGCTCCTTGGAATCTATTAGCTATTAGCTGGAATTGACTCGATGGCACTTAACAACAACAACAAATATGAATAGATATAACTCACACAAACAACAGTTCTTTAGCCCCTCAATAATTTGTAAGAATTTTACTCTCTTAAGACCTGCTAGGGCCAAACAAACAAAAAAGCCAAATCAGTGGCCATCAAGTCAATTCCAACTCATAGCAATCCTAAACGTAGTAGGATTCCCATGCAGTGTTTAAGGAGCATCCCCAGGATAATATTAGAGAAAACTAGTTGTTTGATTTGTGGTTGGGGTTTTTAGGTTAGTAGTTAAGGAACAAGAAAGCAAGGAAGTAATAAAGGTTCAGAAGTAAAAATTGAAATGCTGCACAGTGGTGCTTTAGCTGGATAAGAAAGAAGGAGAGTGGGTTTTGAGAACGGGAAAGAAGGATCCAAAGACTAGATCACTGTTTTATAGTAAGTTGAGAGAAGGAAATTGATAAACTGCTTGATTCAACCCTCAAAACAATTATGGGGAAATAAATAGTTTCAGACCTCATTATATAGTTCAGTCCTCAGTTTGTTAGTTAATAAACTAATGCTTAATGACTACTAATGTGACTTCCCAGTAGTAGTAGAGAAGTTCAGGTCTTATATACGGAGTCCAGTCCTCTTCTCCCTGCCTATAATGCTGAAACCTACTTTTCTGTCTTATGTGCATGAAAACAGATGAAAATACTCATAGTTTTATTAACATCCTTAAAGTACTCTTTAAAATACACACTTTTTCTCTTTGATCTAATATAGGTTTCTAAAATATTAGAAGAATTTGATGTTGAAGAACAACCTAGTGCCATGCTAGAAAACCGCTTTCCCAACATTAAGGTTATACAATCTGCTGTAAAGCGACTGAAGAGTGAAGAACATGTAAGAAAGTGGTGTTTTTTTTTAGTGACATTTCCATTATTCAACCTTGGTGAGCTTTTGCCTGCCTGACTTTTACTCTGCTTCTATAATTACCACTGCCACCACCACCATCATCACCATTTAAGTCCCTAACATGTAAAGTTTAGTAACATGGAGTTCTATTATTATTATTAGGGGGAAAACTCCACTTTATTGTAAGTTTATTGGAATTATATAATTAGTTTGATTTTGCATCTTAGGTTTTACAGTTCAAGTTAGCAATTATATTTATATAGTGCTTACGGTGTTCTGGACACATATTAGGTGCTGGGCTATGATAGGAATAATACAAAGTGCCTGCTCCAGGGAGCTCACAGTATTATAGAGAATAGATATGTTTACATATAATCCTACTGACTTGTGAAACTCTTAGTCAATGAAATATGATAGGAGCTCTTACATTAGGGATCTGGGACAACTTCACACAGGGAGGAATATTTGAGCTGGATTTAAAAAGATGGGTGCATTCAGAGTTTTCCAGGTGGAAGAGGACATTATAGAAAGAGGAGATTACATGTTCAAAGACCTAAAGGAAAGACGGGGGATAGGTGCAATAGTGAGGATATCAAACGGACTGGGATGTGGATAAGTATATCGGCAGAAAAGACTAGAGAAATAAGTAAATGAAATTGTGAAGTTGCTAAGAACTTGGATTTATATTACTAATGGAGAAATCTTGTTGTTAGGTGCCATTGAATTGGCACTGATTCATAGCAAGCCTATGCACAACAGAACAAAACACTATCCTGTCCCATGCAAACCTCACAATCATTGCTAAGCCTGAGCCCATTGCTGCCACCACTGTGCTAATCCATCTTGTTGGGGGTGGCGGGGGTCTTCCTCTTTTTCTCAGACTTTCCACTTTACTAAATATGATGTCTTTCTCCATGGACTGGTCCCTTTTGATAATATCTCCAAAGTATGAGAGGCAAAGTCTGGCCATCTTGGCTTCCAAGGAGCATTCTGGTTGTACTTCTTCCAGCACAGATTGGTTTATCTTTTGGCAGTCCATCGTACTTTTAATATTCTCGTCTAACACCATAACTCAAATACATCAATTATTCTACGGTCTTCCTTATTCCCTGTCCAACTTGCATGTATATGAGGTTATTGAAAATACCACGGCTTGGAACAGGCATACCTTAGGAGAAATAGTTAAGAGCTAGGAGTGACAGACTAGGCTTTGTTTTAGGAAGATAGTCTGACAACATGTAGAAAATGAACTGGGTAAAGGGGAGTGTCTAGAGACCAATAACCAAATTGAGAGATAGTTGAAGTATCCCAGAGATGAAAGCAAACCTGATCTAAGACAAAGGAAGGGTAGTTGGAAAGAAAAGCCCAGATATGAGGGAAATTTATGCTATAAAATCAGCAAGCCTCAATAACTCAGTAGACAAGAGGATGGATAAGGATGTTGTCAGATGACATCTCTACAAGATCCTCAAATGAGCCTTAAGTAAAATGGAAAGTAAGATTTGTGCTTTTCTATAGCAGTTTCAATTTATGAATTCTGCCTTAGAAAACACATATATACCACAATTGATACAAATAATTTTGGCGGGGGGGGCGGGGAAGAAAACTACTGTGGGTTTTTTTTTTTTTTTTGAGAGGGAAAAAAACGAGACAAATTTGAATCCAAAATCCATAATAAGATGCTAATACATATAGTGCTAACACACTAGTCCATGTATCATGCACATCAATTAAATTAGCAAATTGAGGTGATTCTGAAAACTACATTCATTAATGGTGATGGAATTTATGTATTAGGGCATTTGAATCAGTGCTCATTGTCCTTTGAAAAGTATCCCACATGAACTGCATGTCTGAATCCTCTTATTCTTCCTTTACATTCTTTAGTGAATTAGACATACTGTGTTTCATGTTCATGTTTGCTTGTAAGAATTTAGCAGGAGCTAATGAATAGCCTTGGAGTGGTGCTGTAAGATAAGCACTGGACTGCTCACCGCAAGGTTGGCAGTGCAAACCCACCAGCCGCTCCTCAGAAACACTATATAGGGTCACTATGAATTGGAGCCGACTCAATAGGACTTAACAACATTAAATAGTTCTGGCATTGCGCTATAGGATAAGCACTGGACTGCTAACTGAAGGTTGGCATTCAAATCTACTAACTGCTTCTGAGAAACCCTATACAGGGTGGCTGTGAGTCAAAACCAACTTGATGGCACTTAACACCAACAATGAATAATCCTAGTGGTAGTTGGTTAAGAGTGGGCAGCTAACTGCAGGGTCAGCCATTCATGCCTACCAGCCACTGCACAGGAGGAAGCTGTCTTGCTGCCGTAGATTTACAGTCTCAAAACCTATATAGGGTCACCGTGAGGCACTGGCAATGCATAAGGAACAAGCCACCATACAATAATTTCTTCCAGTACCCTTCTGTTAAGCTCAGAGATGGTCATCAAAACCTGCTTCAGGTATGTGATATCAGAACTCAAGTTTAAAATTTCAGAAAGTTTTTTCAAGTTTAAAATTTCAAAATGTTTTAGTTATCAAACTGAAGTAAATATACCTCATGAGATTCCATGAAATTTTATGCTAAATATTATGCAAATACACCTTTTTTCCCTCCAGAAGAGAAAGTCTAGTTTGTGATATTCTCAAAGTAATTCAGGGCCCTAAAAATCACTGGAGTTTTAAGCATTCTCATACTTAGTTGACTTTGTAACTGCTGTAACACGTATCGAGTGCCACCAAGAGGCAGTTCTGATACATTTTTGCATTTTGTCTATTGACTTTCTAGTTTAAAGTAAAATGAACCACATCTAACTATGTTCCCTTCTCCTCTTCATGATGTTTTTACAGTGCATTTTAACAGAAGATGGCAGCCAGCATATATATAAGCAGCTCTGCTTGTGTGCTGGAGCTATACCAAAATTGATATGTGAAGGAAACCCGTTTGTATTAGGGATCCGAGATACAGACAGTGCTCAGGTAAACATTTAAGGCTGGGTTGTGGGAAGGGCACATGAAGATTAAAACAATTCAGTAGATTCCTTAGACTTGTCAACATTTGATTCCAAGTGTTCTACTTATAATGTTAATATACTGCCAAAGAGGTTCTTATTTTTTGACCCAGAAACAGTTCTTAAGTAAGCATGCTTTATTACTGCCAATTTCAGTTGTCTTTAGTTGATAAATGTACCTTATTACTTTATTCATACTGTTCTTTTGATATTTCACTATTACCTTGAATGTTTCAACTGACATTACATATATATGTGTTTGTTTGGGAATAACATAAATAACAACATAAGTAAATAAATAGCAACATAAATAACATAATTATCTTTATCCAAAAAGGGAAAGCATACCCAAAACTTATTTCCCCAGCAAAGAAATTAATATTCAAAATATGCACTCTCTTTATGGTATAGAATCGTGATACAATCATAGAACTGAAAAATTCACTTGATTGATGGCTTCACCCTCGGATAGTGATAAACAATCCCAGTTATGTGAGACTTGTATATATGAAACCTTTACATCTCTTTTTGGTGACTTATGTCAGAGTTTATTGTCAGGATGTTTTTCAGTCACAATACTTTGTTACTTCAGGCTCATTTTTGTTTGGTCCCACAGGGTGATGGTTTTACATTCCCATAGTATTTTTTATTCTTGAAAACTGATCATTGTTTTCTTCAGTGTCTTCGTCTTTTAATTAAATAAGAATTTAGAGGAAAACTAAAAGAACTTGACTATCTTGTAAGCGTTTTAAGTTCATATTGGGATAATGCATTGGACCACAAGTCAGTTTGAACTGTAAGGTCGGTGGTTAAAATTTACCAGCCACTCTTTGGAAACCCTATACAGGGTCGCTTTGAGTCAGAACCCACTCACTGGCACTTAACAACAACAATTATCAAAAATATTTATCAACGATTGAGCTCATAACTATGTTTCAGTTAGGCCCTCTACATACTTGAACTCATTGACTCCTTACAGTAATCCTATATGACCATTATTGCTCAGACTTTTCTAGTGTATATAAATTGAGAGATTAATTCCTGTTGTAATGATGTAGGATCAGCACTGGACTGCAAACTATAAGTTTAGGAGTTCAAACCCACCAGCTGCTCCTTGGTAACCCTGTAATAGGGTCACTATGAGTCGGAGCTAACTCGATGGCACATAACAACAAAAGTAACAACAAACAAGTAGCTAATAGGGGTCCTAGTGTGGCACGGTAAGATCAACACTGGACTGCTAACCACAAGTTCTGTGTTTCAAATCTACCAGTTGCTCCTGAGAAACCCTATACAGGGTCACTGTGAGTCAGAACCAACTCAACAGCTCTTAACTACAACAACAAAGTAGTAAGTTTATCAGAAGTAAAATTTAAACTCAGGTTTTCCATCTACAAGTCCAGTGTTCCTTAAATGTTTAGTACTTAAGGATTTCCTTAAACTGTTTCCTGCTCAATGAAGGCCAACTAAAATTAACTGCAATTTTTCTTTCTTATAGAATTTCAAAGTCATAGTCTATTTTAGTGGTGATTTATTCACTACTACAATAAGGTTAGGGTCAGTGTAATAGAAATGTCAACTTGGCAGAATAAGAGAAATGTAGCTGTTCACATGTCATCCCCGAGTAATAGGATTTTTCTGTACTTGTAAAGGAGCCAAAAGAATGTCCGTGGGCTCTCTAAGCTCATCATTTTGTTCTGTTTTGAATATAATGACGTTATTGTTGTTAAGTGCCGTGGAATTAGTTCTGACTCATAGTGACCCTATATCGGTTTCCAAGGCTTTTAAATCTTCACGAGAGCAGAACGCCTCATCTTTCTCCCACACAGTGGCTGATGATTCATAGTCCAGTGCTTATCATATGGAGCCACCAGAGAGTGATTGCAAGGAAAGCAAATTGGAAAGAAACACGAAGGACAACATTTAATGCTTAAATGGATGTTTGTTGCTGTGTTGTTAAGCTTACTGAGTGTCTCCTGGTGGATATGATCAGGAGATAGTCTTCTCTTTTCGATTGTAATGCCTAACAGCTGTTATTGGCTCTTGTCTCAATGGTGGACTATTATGGGGTATGCTTGTAGCTTGGCTGTATGGCAAGGATTGCTGACTCTTCTTGAGTAACGTAGGGAGAAAAAGCTCCCACCTCCAGGGAAAAAAAAGTGATCAAAAGGACCAAAAACCGAAGCAATATAAAAGCAGAGACAAAAACCACCACTCTAAAACAAAAATAAAACTGTGGCTGACTAGCCAGTTGCCTTTGCTGAGCAGGTAGTGTGCGTGCACTGTAGAAACTGCCAGCAGTGGGTGGGGTGTCCACTCACTCACACAGGCCCCTCCTTTAGTCACCACCGGAGAGGTGTGCAGATAGATTTTGAGAAGTTAATGGGAAAAAGATTGTCTACTATTTTTGTCTCTGAAGGTCAGTTAGATATCTGCGTGTGCACAGTGTAATTCTCGAAATAGTTATGTCCTTTTATGTTGGGGTTTTACAGAGTGTTCATACGGTGTGTATGGCCAGACCTGCGTTTTTCTTGCTGGGTAGGCAGGAGTAAATGGTCACGCAAGTTAACTTTAAGGCTGGGTCCCAGAGTCAGACGTCATAAACAGCTGCCAAAGAATCAGCCTGTGGGATCAATGGGACTCTTACTCTTTGTGCTGTGGGATCAACGCTGGACCCTTTTGGGGCTGCACGCCCACCTGCCTGAAGGCGTCCAGGCTGGGCAGAGAAGGCACGACAGAGAAGAGGAGGAAGAAATGTGTAGAGTCCCCCCACACCTCCTTTTCCAAGTGTCACTGCACCGGTTTTAGCACCGGTTCACTGTGTTGGACCAGCTGTGGCCTGCCCTCTGAATTCAGCCCTGGTGGGGTGGCCGCAGAGGGAGTCCTGTGTCCCAATAGATTCCTAAATCACAGTATTTTCCTTTATACAGTGATTTTTCCCACTGGTGGGTGTGGGAAACTGACGCCCTGTACCTTATGCTTGATCCAGAGCTCTGGGGCTGTTCCATGAAAGCAGCTTCTCTGGGTTCTCAGCCCCTCCCCCATGGAACCTGTCCTGCCTGACTCCAGAACCAGAAGGAAGTCACAACACTTAGACTGTTAATTGGAAGAGTGCAAAGTGGCAAAATGAGATTTGTTATTCCTTAGAAAATTAGATAAAAGTGCTTATTTGAATATTATCATTGAAGTCTTCTTGCTTCATATATTGCCAGGTATTACAAAGTGATCTCATTATTTCCTTTTTTATACAGGAATTTCAGAAACAGCTCACTAATGCTAAAAGAATAATGATCGTAGGGAATGGTGGTATTGCACTTGAGTTGGTGTAAGTATATGTTTATAAATGCTAGTTACAGATTACTCTGATTCAGGTAATTATTGGAAGACTAGAAACATCTTTTGATACTCTGAAAATAAAAGATAAGTGTAACTTTTTCATACCGTTTCCAAGAAAAGTCCACTTCATTTTTAGCTTTCATGGAATCCGTAGTTGCAGAAACAGGAACAGAAAGCCTCCCTCAGAAATGCTGCCCTTGAGGTTAGCAGCCCAACTTGTAAACACTATGCAACCAGAACTCCTTTTAATACTGTTACATTACTTTGAAATGTGAAAGATGGTTGTGTAGAGGAACACTTGATTTATTAAAATCCAGAAATGCATTTCACAATCAGTGTATATATATTGAAATCCAAAATTTATTACCAAATGTATGGTGTTCCCTGACTTATGACAGGGTTCTGTTCACTGACTGTTGTGAGCTTGTTCTAATGTTAAGTCAAATACTACCCTCCTTTTTTTTTTAAGTTTTCAATGTTATTGCTGTTTCTTACTAGAATCTTTATGTTCGATCTTTGGACAGCTGCAAGTTCCCATCAGCAAAAAATGTGCTGCAACATTGTATGTAGTACATAATATTAATAAGATTTAAAAACAGATGGTTTTAAGTGGTTTGTTTTAACTTGAATACCTGATACATTAGGAACTCCCTGTACTCCACGTCCTGTTGATCTGCAATATGATCTGAGCAAGGTAACAAAACATATTCTTCAGACAATCTGCGATTTAGTGACTGAATGCTCTTTTTTGGCATAGAAGAGCAGCAAAAATAAAAGCTTTTGTTTCATGAAACAAGGGGTGTCTTTAAATATGCTAAAACACAAACTTGACCAGAAGTCAGAAACACTAAACTTTGTTTTTGCTATCATCTGTTTACTAATGAGTCTTGAAGTCATTTAACTTGTATTATATTGTGTTTGTGTATTTTGTACCTTAAATGTTCAAATACTGATGAACTGCTAAATTCTAATAAAAGCCTATTATACTTAGAATGACACAATGTCCTGTTAGTCTAGGATTGTTGTTGTTAAGTGCCATCGAGTCTGTTCCGACCCATAGTAACCCTGTAGAGGGCTTCCAAGGAATAGCTGGTGTGCTTGAACTGCTGACCTTGCGCTTCACAGTGACTTTGCAGTTCAGCACATTAACCCACAGCACCACACCAGGCCTCCTAGTCCAGAATAGTCCTAGTTTATTCCTGCTGTACCAAAACAGTTATCAATAGCTGCTAATAGCCTAAATTGTATGATAAGCTATTTGATCATCTTGATTGTAATGGACTTTAAGGTGATTTTGCTAAGAAAGCCACATTCTCGGTGTTCAAACCTAGAAATAAAACAGAAGGTGCTTATGACCAATAATGAAGGTGGTTTATATATACTAAGAACATTTCTTACTTGAAGATCCTTGATCTTTTTGTGAACTAGTGTTTTCTTTGGTTAGCTGGCTTACAACTTCTGAGATAAAAAGAATCGAGGGGTATTGTTCTTTTAGAACAAAATTTAAATTTTAGCTTATTACTCTTGCTGTCCTTTTTCAAGGCAGGCCCTGGTAGCATACTGAATTACGTGTTAGGTTACTAACCACAAGGTCAGCAGTTTGAATCCGCCAGCCACTCCATGGGAGAAAGATGAGGCTTTCTGTACCTATAAAGGTTTCCAGCCTCAGAAACTCTATGCAGGGTCGCTATAAACCAGAACTCTCACTTTGGGTTAATGTGCTGGACTGCAAGGTCGATTTGAACTGCAAGGTCAGTGGCTCAAGCTCATCAGCTGCTCCTCAAAAACCCTGTACAGGATTGCTATGGATTGGAACCAACTCCACGGCACTTAACAACAATAAGCCAGGATGGTCTGCACAGCAGCAGCTAGCCTTTTCCAGCCCTTCCAGAATGTAGTGTTTTGAGTATAATAAACATTTGGCATCAAATTAGTCAACCAGATTGCCAGTATTGTTACTATGTACATTTGTCCATCTATTATAATGTGTAATGAGATAAACAACACATCTCTTACTCCTGAGGATCCTGGGCACATTTCTATAACTATGTTACACAGAGTGAGCACTAAAGTGGTATTTATTGTGAAGAGATTTTACCTGATAGTTCAACACATACAAAGGGAGTTTTCCCATGAATTTATTGAGACCTCTTTGTGTATTTATCACTTTCAGTAAACTAGTCTACTAATGCCTTTTACTCTTTTTTCTATTTGTGACTCTTAACTGTGCTTTTACAATCATTATTTCCCCAAACTTTTAATATATTTTCTTCGTATTTACTCAGGAGATCATTGTTATTTGTAAATGAAAGTATTTTTACTTGGATTGTTAAAACTACTGTAAGTAACTTTAATTTACCTTTTAGATACGAAGTTGAAGGCTGTGAAGTGATTTGGGCCATTAAAGATAAAGCTATTGGGAATACTTTCTTTGATGCAGGAGCAGCAGAATTCTTGACTTCAAAGCTCACTACTGAAAAGCCAGAGGTTAAAATTGCACATAAAAGAACCAGATACACAACAGAAAGCAAAGGTAGCATCTAACTTGTTAATTCCTTGCATGAATGTTTTACATTTTCTAAAATATATATATTTTCATGCAGAATATGTATAAGTAGCACTGAAAACTTTACAGGATTTAAATTAAACAGCCCTTCTACATATTTACAAGACACTACAGCTAAGCAACCCTTTAAAGTAATTTTATAATAAATGTAATGAGTTTAAAAACTAATAAACAAGCCTCACAGTTTAAGTTTTAGGTTTAAAATAGCGTTTTTTTTTAAACCTATAAAATTCAACAAATTTTAACTTTTGGGGTTGCTTAAAATTGACAAAAGTTTCAAAATGTGATGGCTGTTTGCTTCCCCTTCATGTTATCATGTTAACCACTGTATATGGTATCTATAAAATGGTACTTATATTTGACATTTAGTTAAAATCTTACTCATTTTATCGTTCTCCATCTCAAATTATTAAAGCAGTGAATAAAATTACTAATGTGGTTAACTGAATTTAGTTATCCTATTTGAGAATCATTATACTGCCTAAAAGCTTCAGAATACAGGTATAGTTCTCTGTCTGGCAGTTTTTATGTCGTTTGAATTTTAAATCAATTTATCTCCTCAGAAAGGAAAAATGAAGCAAGAACCAAAGTTAAGGCTAGTAATGTAGGCAGTGCCTTGGGACCTGATTGGCATGAAGGCTTGCATCTTAAAGGAACAAAAGAGGTAGGTTTTCATATACTGATTGTTGCTGTTGTTTCTTTTGTTGTGTGCCTTCGAGTCAGTTCAGACTTAGAGTGATCCTGTGTGAACTGCCAGCTTTGTAGCTAAGTCCATTGTTTACCCTATAGTGCCACACCACGTCTCCATATACTGATTAAACATATCTAAATGTAATTTTTAATTCTTAACTTTGTGATAAAGACTGGTTAAAATATAGTCAAAGAATTGCAAGATCACACTTTTAAAAGTATGTAGTGCTAGGAAAGGACTTCAAAGTCTCTTGGCCCAGTTACCAAATAAAGAGAGGTGATTATCAAACCCATCTAAAACTCAGTCTTTTTAATTCTCCATGTATCTCACTCCCATCTCGGTTCTAACTCAGAAACCCTATATAGTGCTTCCAAGGCCATAAATCTTTACAGGAACAGAAAGTCTCATTTTTCTCCTTCAGAGTGGCTGGTGGATTTGAACTGATGACCTTGTGGTTAGTAGTCCAGTGCTTATCCTACAGTACCACCAGGACACCTTTCCCTTGTATTGCTGTTGTTATTGTTGTCAAGTGCTGTCAAGTTGGTTCTGACACATACTGACCCTGTTAAGGATTTCTAAGGAGCAGTTGGGGGAGTTGACTCACCAACCTTGTGGTTAAGAGTCCAGTGCTGATCCTACAGCGCCACCCCAAGAGTCCTTCCCATGTATTTGTTTTTGTTGTTGTTGTTAAGTGTCATCAAGTCAATTCTGACCCATAGCGACCCTGTAGAGGGTTTCTGAGAAGCTGGTAACTTGAACCACCAACCTTGCGGTTCAAACGACTTTGCAGTCTGAGGCATTACCCACAGCACCACACCAGGACTCCATATAGAGACTTCCATACCCAAACTACAGTGAGCATACCCGTCTTAGTTTCTGTTTTCAAAAGTTATTTAGATGCTTTTAGTAAACTTGCAGTATTTTAACCATTTGGAATCCCTGGGTGGTGTAAACAATTACAACATACAGCTGCTAATAACCAAAAGGCTAGAGGTTCAAACCCACACACAGTACCTCATAAGTAGTCTGGTGACCAACAACTTAAAAAAAAAAAATCTGCCAATAAAAACCTTAGTGCATAGTGTACTCTGACACACGGGATTTTTCTGAGCTGGAATTGACTCAGTGGTAACTGGAGAAAAGATGGATTCTAAAGCAGACACCCTATTACTTTACTAGATATTTAAATTTTGTAATACTGTTAAAAAGTTCTGACATTTAAACATTTTAAGAACGTGTACATGTTCTTCACTACCATGAGTGATGTATTTAAAAGATTTCCAGCTTTTCAGGTAGGAGAGAGGAGACTGGCTTCATCATTTATCTCTTTCTTGTCATGCAAATTATACAAAATTATTTCTTTCTGCCCCACCAGATCCTAAGATTAATAGTATTTTTAAATTGAAACTTCGACAGTTTACTAGTACAAATATGTTGACACGACTCCACCCAGAAGAAGTTTTCATAGTCTGTAACACACACACACACACACACACTTGCACGTAAACTTCACCATCACAGCCAGTGTTACTGTTGCATCACACCTTAGCATTCTTTATTGACAGACATATGTCACTGATGCACAAAATAGTAAGATTTTTTTCACTATTGTCCTAATATGAATTGTTGGATACTGAGATCATAGCTAATAGGAGGAGGGTATATGTATTACAGTGAAACCTGTGAGAACTGTAAACTGATGGAACTGTCTTGTTTTTCCAGGTCTCACAGAATTTTTAACAGGCTACATTCATACTATTCTATCACTATCTATTAGTGAAAAATATTTTTGTTTTCCTTCTCTAACAGGTTTCTGCCTTACACAGGCTCCACCTTTTACAGCATAAGAATTACTTTTTGCATATATTATTTTCTACCAGTATGCTATAAATTTCTTATTCATCATCCGCAGCCAGAGTCATTTTATCAGGTAGTATGATGGTGACCGGTATTTCTTTCATTTAGTTTTTTCACAAGATTCACATCGAAACAATGTGTGAAGTAAAGCAAGTCTACCTTCAGGAAGAATTTACAATTTTGAAAAAGGAGTCCTTGACTCTTCCAAGGGACCATCATGAGAAGTTGGTTAAATCAACAGATAAAGGTAAGTAATGAAATAAGTAAAATAAATGCTTTTTTTAAAAGGAAGATAACTTAAGCCATATTAAAAAACTTGAAGTTTCTGTATAAAACTTAAATATGAATAAAACCTAATGATAATGAGTTATTTCATTTTCACCACTTTTTCTCTTAAGTTTTCCAATAAATTAATTTGCTAAGGTTCAGGATGTTTTGATCATCATAACTCTAAGTTAGTCACAATATCTTATAGAGTAAAACAGCAAAAGAGGCATTTCAAGGTGAAATGACTACCCCCAAATCAAACAGATTAAAAATCTATGAATTTCGGATTCAGACACACATCTCCTAACTCCTATTCTACACATTCTGTGAAAACTACCATCATTTGAAGAAATTTACTCAGCTAAGCTAGCATATCCACCACTCATCTGTCAGTTTGTCATACTGTGGTGGCTTGTGAGTTGCTGTGATTCTGAAAGCTATGCCACCGGAATTTTAAATACCAGCAGGGTCACCTATGATGGACAGGTTTCAGATGAGCTTCTAGACAAATACAGACTATGAAGAAGGAGGAACACACTACTTCCGAATATTTAGTCACTGAAAACCATATGAATAGCAGAGAAACACTGTCAGATACAGTGCCGGAAAATGAGCCCCTCAGTTTAGAAGGCACTCAAAATGTGACTGGGGAAGAGCTGCATCCTCAAAGTAGAGTCGACCATGATGACACAAGTGGAGTAAAGCCTGCGGGACCTTCATTTCCTAATGGGGCACAACTCAAAATGAAGAGAAACAGCTGTAAACATCCATTGAAAAAAGGAACATGGAATGTATGAAGTATGAGTCTGGGAAAAACACATAAACATTGATATCTTAGGCATTAGTGAGCTGAAATGGACTGAGATTGCCCATTTTGAATCCTATGACCACATGGGTTACTATGCTGGAAATGACAAATTGAAAAGGAATGGTGTTGCATTCATCATCAAAAAGAACAAATCCAGATCAGTCATGAGGT